CAATAGATATTTTACCTCAGATCTTGAAAATAAATTAAAGCAAACTTGTACGTTAAACCTGTGAACTCACTGCGAACCAACACGTGTATTCCATAACAAAGATATCAGTCACTCAAAACTGTTCAGTCCATTCACATTTGAATCATCTATTTTCCGTGTCCACTTTTCTTTTCTACACACTCGCCATGTTTTTGCTGTCACATCGTATCTGCACTGGACGCAACAAAGCATCCGGTGTAGACACGAGGTAAGTTAATGTAGCTTTCTGATGCTGTGTTTGAATTTTCATGCCACATTATTTGAAATTAGCGCGGGCCAAACTTTTTTCTCTCGTGGGCCGCCTATTGAGGAACCCTGTTTTAAAAACAGCTACGATATGGGCGATATGGGGCCAATGGCATTTCACCATGTGTGGAACTAGTGACACAATGAGTTACAAAATTCTCCGTCGTCTCCGTCGTTTGTGTTGTTTTTGACAGTCACTCATGGCTAAAAACAAAAACTTGGAATATTAACATTGAAGATACATAATTCATCACTTAATTTACACGTTTTCAAATCATTTAGTTAAGACATGTTAATAAAGTACAAAGCAACTAAAGTAAACAGATTTAACAGAAAAACACATATTATGCAACGTTGAACTTTGCAAACAAATAAACACACAGAGGACAAGTCCTCATAGCAGGTGTTTTTTAGACCTGGGAATACATTATCATCTTATTAAGACCGCAGGGGAAGCAAAGGACACATGAATCTTACGAGCGATTGCGGTGGGCTTGACAGCTGTAATTAAAGTCTGAGAATTAACTATTGATTATTGGTGTAAACACCGTAATCTACCAAGGTCAGAGATGAGGATGCATGAAGTATAGGCCGTTTTATACAATGAGTTACAAAAAGAAACCAATTCTCCGTCGTTTGTGTTGTTTTTGACAGTCACTCATGGCTAAAAACAAAAACTTGGAATATTAACATTGAAGATACATAATTCATCACTTAATTTACACGTTTTCAAATCATTTAGTTAAGACATGTTAATAAAGTACAAAGCAACTAAAGTAAACAGATTTAACAGAAAAACACATATTATGCAACGTTGAACTTTGCAAACAAATAAACACACAGAGGACAAGTCCTCATAGCAGGTGTTTTTTAGACCTGGGAATACATTATCATCTTATTAAGACCGCAGGGGAAGCAAAGGACACATGAATCTTACGAGCGATTGCGGTGGGCTTGACAGCTGTAATTAAAGTCTGAGAATTAACTACTGATTATTGGTGTAAACACCGTAATCTACCAAGGTCAGAGATGAGGATGCATGAAGTATAGGCCATTTTATGGGTCTTTTACCATAGTACACTCCTGGGTGCAGCCTGAAGCTAGAAGTAGAAGTATAGGCATAAAATACTAAATTTTTCTGTTCTCACAAGAGATTGACTATCACAGCTCACTATACATAGTTGTCAATGAGAGGAGTGTTATTCATTACGGTACTTACCGTGTAGAGCTCGTTGAGGACTTTCATCAAATCCTCTTGCAGCTGAAAGGTGATTTCTTTACTCTGAAGAGAGAGAAACAAAAAGAAAGAGGAGGCATCAGCTATCAAAATGTTTGACAAAATAAGAAAGCTGAAGGCACTGTATGTGTTTGTGTGCAATTAAAATGTTAGTTTTATCAAAGATTCGTATGTGGGCACACATTCTTCACACTCAAGGTTTGTAGTTCAACTGTTTGCTTCAACTTTTAGCAGCTTGTGTGGATTACCTGATCTTTCTGTCTCGCTGGCCACTCAAGACTCTCACTAACCCAATTATATCTCTACTAATCTGATTCCACGAGCCATTCCCAACATCCCAGTGCTCAAGGGTGCTATGAGCGAATCCTTCTGATACAGCTAGAGCAAGACCTCCAGTCAATCTTGAAAAATCAGAGGCCACAGTGTTCTTCAAACTAAATTATACTCTCAATTCCTGAATTTGAAAGGAACTGGAGAAGCTATCATCATTTTAGTTTACGTGGGTTTATTTAGAAAATGTCTTGATGGATGTTTTAGGGTGAATCTCATCAATCTTATAAATTATTTAAGTAAAAGAAGTAGATATTTATAAATAATTAATAAAATCGCATATATGAAACCACATATACAGTATATGTGTGTGTGTGTGTGTGTGTGTGTAAGTGTGTATATATATTTTTTTTTTTGATAAACACAAATTAAGATATTTTTTATGAAATCCGAGAGCTTTCTGACAAAAAAAAATCAAAATGGCTTTCTGAGAAAATAAAAATGGCTTGATAAATGAAACTGTCTAGGTTTTTTGGGGATTCAAAAAAAAAAAAAAAAAGTGAATTGATTTTTATCATTGTAGGGTGGTTGTGTCCACACACTGCTAAGACACATTTATATGCAAACACCATGTAAAAGTCCCCTTTAATTTATGTTCCGAAGATGAACGCAGGTTTGGAACGACATGAGGGTGAGTAATTAATGACAGAATTTTCATTTTTGGGTGAACTATCTCTTTACATACATCTATCCTAACAATTCAAAGAAAATCTGGCTGCGTGGCTTTAATGCACTTAGTCCATTTAGCCTTTTAGACTCAATTTAATACTTCAGAGAGAAAGACTTTCCATAATATAAATGTTGGGTCACACTTTATTTTAAGGTCCAATTCTCGATATTAACAAACCATTAACTACGACTCAATAAACTCCTGATTTGCTGCTTATTAATAGGTAGTAAGGTAGTTGTTGAGTTTAGGTAGAGATGTAGAATATGGGCAAGCAGAATTAGTTAATAGTGAGAATTGGTCCCTATACTGAAGTGTTACCAAATGTTGAGTATGATGTGAATGAGAATGTGGCTCTGCCTTTAACCATTTTCTTATGGCCATCTGTTTACTGTCTGCCAGGACACTGAATATGAATTTATATTCATTATTAACCAACTTATCAAAAGAGATGCTACCCAAATATAATACACTGTGTCATATTTAAAATACAATTTCCATCTCAAAGACCCTTGAATCCATGGCAAAAAAAATAAAAGGACATAACTAAAGAAAATATAAATAAAGTGATTGGATTCATGTTACATTATCTTCATGAAAATTACAATTATTAATAATAACAAGAAGGTTGCATATTTAAATAAAATATTAAAATATAATTTAATTGAAATATTTAATATTTAAATATTTAATAATATCTTATATATTATATATATATATATATATATAT